CTGCCTCGGTCTTGTGTTGTTGTGTGTCACATCACTGCCTCGGTCTGCTGTTGTAGCGTGTCACAACACTGCCTCTGTCTGCTGTTGTAGCGTGTCACAACACTGCCTCGGTCTTGTGTTGTTGTGTGTCACATCACTGCCTCGGTCTACTGTTGTAGCGTGTCACAACACTGCCTCTGTCTGCTGTTGTAGTGTGACACATCTTGCCTTTGTCTGCTGTCGTAGTGCCACATCCCTGCCTATGTCTGCTGTTGTAGTGTGTCACAACACTGCCTCTCTTTGCTGTTGTAGTGTGGCACATCTTGCCTCTGTCTGCTGTCGTAGTTCCACATCCCTGCCTGTGTCTGCTGTTGAATTGTATCAAATCCCTGCCTGTGTCTGCTGCTGTTGCGTATCACATCTCTCGTCTGTCTGCTGTTGTTGTCGTCTCAAATCTCCCTCTCTCCCCCAACACACATACATTCTCCCCATCCCACCTATCACCCCCACCCCTGCCACCCACACACACCACACACACCACTACCTCCTGTTCCCGAATGGCGACTGTGATCTCCAGTAGACATCTTGCCTGAAGCTCCACTCACAAGTTTTAGGAACAGAGCGTCACTCCTGTTGCCTGTTTTATGGTTATATTCAAGCAGGTCCAATATAAGTATGATGAAGATGCACTTATTGCCTGCAGTATAATTAATCATGACAAACCAATTTCAATAATTAGGACAAATTTGGAACCCCGTCGGTAACACGAGTGTTCATGAAACGCAGTATCCGACGTCATCTGAGCTGTTGTATGCACCCCCTTCGTCAGCAGACTTACTTGTGATGCCGTTGATCTTTGATGATCTAACTCGATGTTCCTCTTTCATCTGCACGGCGGACTCATTCGGAATTCTCATAAAAGAGGAAAGAAGATTTGAAGCAGCTTAGGTTTTGCAAGACATGTCATTGTTTCCTCTAAACAGCCGTACGTTCTGGAGAAGGAAGTGCGGATGATCGCTTCCATTTGTCTATTATTACAACCCGGTCGGAGTCCTCAGTGAGGTTTATTGGAGGAATAACAACGTATTACTTAATGGAGACTTAGTGTTTTATGAAAGGGAAGCGTTATTGTACGGCACTGACATGTATTTCCGTCAGTTCAAAGTGGCTGCGTGGTTCAGATGGACAGTACCAGGAGTGCCTGATCGTCCCATTGCACGCAGGTCATACATTGGTGGCGTTGTTAATTATTGATTGCAAATTACTGCCTATTTTAGATAGAGTACAAACATGTTTTGCAAAGCTCCGTTTAAGTCTAGTATGCCCGTTTTGTCGTGCTTGAAATTCGAGATGTTGACACGTGAAGAGGTTTTGGTTTAATTCGATTGAACGCTTAACCGGTATATCAGGGTTGACGTTGTACACAGGGACGCTTTGTTTAGCTCCCTGGTCTGTTAATGAAGATCCACGACTAAAACTGAGTTGACTAAGTGAACGTACCTGGTGCTGCTGGTGTGGCGTTAATGCGGGGTTATATGTGTAGTATAGGAAAGTTGATGTGGAGTATATAAAGGTATGTGGAGTATATGGTGCTTGATGTGTTGTATATGAAGGTTGATGTGTAGTATATGAAGTTTGGTGTGTAGTATATGAAGGTTGATGTGCAGTATATGAAGTTTGATGTGGAGTATATGAAGGTTGATATGTAGTATATGGAGGTTGATGTGTAGTATATGAAGTTTGGTGTGTAGTAAATGAAGGTTGACGTGTAGTATATGAAGTTGGCGTGTAGTAAATGAAGGTTGATGTGTAGTATATGAAGTTTGGTGTGTAGTATATGAAGGTTGATGTGCAGTATATGAAGGTTGATGTGTAGTATATGAAGGTTGATGTGTAGTATATGAAGGTATGTGTAGTATATGAAGGTTGGCGTGTAGTATATGAAGGTTGGCGTGTAGTATATGAAAGTTGATGTGCAGTATATGAAGGTATGTGTAGTATATGAAGGTTGGTGTGTAGTATATGAAGTTCGTCTGTAGCATATGAAGGTTGGTATGTAGTATATGAAGGTTGATATGTAGTATATGAAGGTTGGTGTGTAGTGTATGAAGGTTGGTGTGTAGTATATGAAGGTCGGTCTCTAGTATATGAAGGTTGATCGGTAGTATATGAAGGTTGGTATGTAGTAAATGAAGGTTGGTGTGTTGTATATGAGGTGAGGTGGTGAGGTGAAATGGGGTTTAACGTCGCGTCCAAGATTATTGCACTTATATAGCGACGTGCATGTACGTGTGTGTGTTTGTGGCTGCTTGTACTAGTCCGGACTGATGCCGATTTACAGTGCTAGCACACTGAGATACCATGCCGCAGTTTAACATGAATACCCCACTCAGACAAAGTATACTGACTCCGAGCCGACCAGTCCTTGTTTTAGCCCCTTAATGCCGAGCGCCAGACAGGGTAACAACAAGTACCATCTTTTAACGTCTTTTGGTATGACGCGGCTGGGGATCGAACCCCGAACCTTCCGCTCTCCGGGCGGAAGCTCTACCACTAGACCACGGAGGCGGTGTGTAGTATATGAAGGTTGGTATGTAGTATATGAAGGTTGATATGTAGTATATAAAGTATGGAGTGTAGAAAATGAAGGTTGATATGTAGTATATGAAGGTTGGTCTCTAGTATATGAAGGTTGATGTGTAGCATATGAAGGTTGGTGTGAAGTATATGGAGGTTGATGTGGAGTATATGAAGGTTGGTATGTAGTATATGAAGGTTGGTGTGTAGTATATGAAGGTTGGTATGAAGTATATGAAGGTTGATATGTAGTATATGAAGGTTGGTATGTAGTATATGAAGGTTGGAGTGTAGTATATGAAGGTTGGTATGCAGTAAATGAAGGTTGATGTGCAGTATATGAAGGTTGGTATGTAGTATATGAAGGTTGGTGTGTAGTATATGAAGGTTGGTATGTAGTATATAAAGATTGATGTGTGAACATGAAGGTTGATGTGCAGTATTTGTTTGGTGTATGGTATATGAAGGTTGGTATGTAGTATATGAAGGTTGATGTGTAGTATACGAAGTTTGGTGTGCAGTAAATGAAGGTTGACGTGTAGTATATGGAGTATGGAGTGTAGAAAATGAAAGTTGATGTGTAGTATATGAAGTTTGGTGTGTAGTAAATGAAGGTTGACGTGTAGTATATGAAGTTTGGTATGTAGTATATGAAGATTGATGTGTAGTATATGAAGTATGGAGTGTAGAAAATGAAGGTTGATATGTAGTATATTAAGGTTGGTGTGTAGTATATGAAGTTCGTATGTAGCATATGAAGGTTGGTATGTAGTATATGAAGGTTGATATGTAGTATATGAAGGTTGATATGTAGCATATGAAGGTTGATGTGTATTTTATGAAGGTGTCTGTGTGGTTTGGAGGTTACAATTCGCGTTATGAGTACTGTTTGATGATAACGATGAACACTTTGTCCACAACGATGAAAGCATTTATCACTGACCGTGCGTGATACCTGTCATTATCAAGGCGTGTAATTGTGACCGTAACATTGCGTTGTTGGAGCAATCGCAAATAGGTGTGTGATAGAAATGGTATTTTGAGTTAAAGTTGACATTTTGAGTTAAAGTTGACATTTTGAGTGAAGTGTATGTCACTGCTGTGTTGTTTCTATTTCCTTCCCTTGGCGCCCCCTGGTGGCGGGGATGTAGGCTGTTCCAGCGCCAGCACAGGACATGTTCTCCCTCTCAGCAATAGTGATTAGCACGCAGTCGTCTAATCACCATCCACTGTGGCCATAATTGAATAGCACACAGGTACACCAGGACTACAACTGAAGCAGTCGACTAGCCTGGTGTGTTTCTACAAGAAGGGATGGAGATGCAAGTTTGTAATTGCCCACATAGAAGACATCGGGAACTACGCTCAAGGCGGATAAGCCGAGCGTAAAACAAATGACGAGACCTATTAGTGAGAGAGGAGAGGGACAGCCTAATCAATATAATGTATGATACCTGTATGAATCCGCCATCAAATAACTTTTGTTAGGGCCCATTAAGAACCAAAGCGTCATTGATCGGACAAATATTTAAGCAAAATGCTTTCAGTCCCTCTCCGGTCCTCGACAAGTGCTTGAACCTAGTAGAAGAACAAAGCTACAAGCACCCCTGGCGAATCGATGTGATGACGCTTTGTCCTGTCAGAGCGTTTCGGGGGAATCATCGTCAGAGTGAAATGTCTTGAAATCTCTCAGACCCATGAACCGACATCAAAGAATTTTGAAAAACTTGAAAAGTTTTCAGTGATGTAGTTGGAAAGATACTTCCGATTCAAGACCAAAAGAAAACACAAATGCTCAAAATGCTAACTTGGAATGGGCGTAATTATTCTTTAAAAACACTCCAAAAGATGAGTCGACAAAAACGTCTGGTAGCATGTCTGATCAAGTATGGGTGAAATATGAATGTACTTTCCTGGCCGGATCAACACCTCCGTACCGCTACCTTCAAGGCAGCAGTCAGCTTAGAAAATAACAGAAAAATCGATAGATCCTATCGTTGAAATAGTATTCTATTAATCAGTGACATATCGAGGGGCTAATTTAATCATTCATAAGCTTTATCTGGACACACACTCCAACGTTCGAGTCCAAAAGATCCGATTTTAAATCGTGTAGAAAAGCCAGTGAAAATACCCTTTGAAATCAATTCAATTACATGAAGTGAGACGGAGTATCGTTCTAAATAGATCTTCTCTCTGATAATATTCTGCCTTGTTTTCACGAGGCATGACACGGGGACTGTAACAATGCTGCGCTTTGGCTGTAATTGACTTTGGGACCTGCTCCTGCATCAAGATGCGCATGCGGCAAATCTTTGCCTCAAAAGAAAAATATTTCCCCAAATCTTACCAAAAGCGCGTTTCGCGCGATGTTCTTTTCACCATGTGTGCGTTTCGATTGGCAAATGTGTTAGCTCGTGAGCTGAATTGATTGCTCTTTCAGTCTTACCAGGGACATCCGTAGCATGAAAATATTTCCATCGGGCCCTTCAATACCCAATTCAGAAGGCTGTTGATCAGGTCCGATAATCAAACAGCCTCACACCGATCTGTGATTTCCAGCACAGGAACCTGCGAGAGGCTCCCCCGGTCGCCGAGAGCGCGCGGGTGTCTGTCAGCCGCCACTGGTTCATCGTCTGCTCGGTATTGAATGCTGCCAACTTGAGACGAGATCACTAGCTCCGCATTGCATGACGGTCCCCGGGAAGTGTAACTTTGGTCTTGAGTCGCAAAGTTACTGTTATCTTCTGCTACTCAAACAGTTCTGTCATATGGGCGTCTTCGATCAGTGGGCAGCGGGCGAGGGAGCTCGGTGGTAGTCAAACATTGACGTCTGCTAGCCAACACGTCTGTTTGGTATCGTGGTCTGTCTACACTTGTAAGTAGCCGTTATGACCAGACGGACATCGGAGAAATACGGGGTGGTTTTTACAGTGGCGGGAGATGATACATGTGACAGTCAGGAGGAGACGTGTATAACGTTCAGGGACCCAAACCTCACGGAGACTTCCCGGACTGTTCACGGGGGGTCGGAGAGCCCGGACTCGCTCCCCTCCCCGTCCCACTGGAGGGAATCCCACGAGTTCGGGAAGGTTCATGAGAAGCAACGGGAGACCAGAGAGAGGTGTTTGTGTTGTCTTTTCTGCTTCTTCCTCCTGTCCACGGCCAGTCTGACCGCTCTGGTCCTCCTTTTGTACACTGGTCACTTCAGTCTAAGTGACCACCTCGACCGGCCTTCGGCTAACGGGCCCCCTGGATCGTCGTCTCTTAACGTTACGTACTTAGGGGAAGGTCTCGCCAAGAAAGCGCCTCAGGTAAGCCGATGATCACGTTATCGCTTTTCAATTTGTTTTAGAAAACGGGGTGGTTGGCACAACCAGACTAAACCATTCATTAGATTCCCGGTCGCTTCTTAAGTGATCGACACTCTGTGTCTGTCGATAGTGACAAAGTAAATGATAGAGTTGGCAAAGCTCGTGAAGTGTATAAAAGTTTAAAGAATTACTCTATTTGGTTGTGTTCAAACACCCGATGGCCAGACACAAAACTGTATTGACATTTGTTATGAGATGTGCTTTGACGAATTCAAACATTTTTTCGCACCTAATTGATCTGTTTGAACTGCTGAAATATTTGAAATATAAAGATTGATCGAGACAAGAATAGATACATTCAATATAAGAGCTGTATTCCATAACACGTCAATCAATTTCTCGTCAATATTCCGTGGATGATTTAACATGCTGCTAGAAGTTATGCAGTGCACGCTTCACCACCTGATCGGCGGAAACAGGGAGTGAACTTCCACCATGCTAGTTTACTTTCTCCACTGCCGATACTGAATGTACATAATCCCCTCTTCATCAATGTGTTGAATATGCCAGGGCTTAATCTAATATCCTGTATCAGGATTCGTTAGGTAATACAGATAAATTCACAGTTTCTCCACATCAATGAAGGTGCACATTCCCCACACCGCGGTAACTCTATGTTAAGTGCCCGGATCAGAGAAGGGCGATTGTTCACGCCGAGCGCATAGCTACTAATTGTTCCACTTGGGATTACAGTACATGGTGGAAAATACTTTCAGCCTGTTAAGAGTCAAACACTTGAGTCATATACCGCAATCATGAACCATTACAACTTAATGTGGATGCTTGTGAAGTATTTGTATAGCGGGGCAGGCTGCTTCACGTCATATTGCCAGGTGTAGACGTCACGTGTGGATATTATTTATCCACGGTTAAGGAAATCAACCGAAAGAGGATTGTTTATGTGTGTTCATCAATACTTTCTCTATTCATCTTGCATTTCTCGACAGAGAATTGAATTAATTTTTGTTACAGCTAGTTGGGAATCAATTTCCGCTGACCAAGTGTTGACTACAATAGTTGGTGATGATGATGTTGATGTTGGCGTTGGGAACATGGATAGGGCGTGAGGGGATTGTGCACACGTCACTACACGCAACACAGGCGGGGAGGGGGCCAATCATTGACAATCATTAAACTTGAAAAAGATCATATTGATCACCTAATTCATCAAATGAATAGCAAGCTACAACCTCCAGTTAGGTCTATGTTTAGCAAGATTTGTTGGAATTCTTTCCCTAAACCATTCTTTTCCCCAACACCTCTCATTCTTTCTTTCTCCACTCACTCCAAAACTCCCTCTCTCCCTCCCTCATCTTCGTCCCCCACCCCACCCACCCACCCCCACCCACATTTTATTCCCCTTAGGTCTCTCTCCCATTTCCCGACCTTCCAGTTTCGATTTTACCGATGGACTTCACCTCACATCTACGGTAAATATTCTTTAAACACGTATTATATATCGATATTTATACTCTGAAACATGTACGACATATACGCTGAAACAAGTACGACATATATACTCTGAAACATGTACGACATATATACTCTGAAACATGTACGACATATATACTCTGAAACATGGACGACATATACTCTGAAAGAAGTACGACATATCTACTCTGAAACATGTACGACACATATACTCTGAAACAAGTCTGGTTTAAGCATATTTATATTCACCAAAAGTGAATGGGATTGTGTACAAGTCCTCCTACTTATGAACATTCTCCCAGATATTTACACAATTGATTTACAATTTGTACGAAACATGAACAGAACAGAAGTAGTGAAAAGAATAGGAAAGATAAGTGAACACTGAGAAAATATAATTTTCATAAATCTCTGTGTATTACGTATATAACTCTGTTAATAGATGACTTGTTTATGTTATCTTGTTCTGTAAGTCCCAATTTCCATTGAATATCAAATTGAGATCAGTTTTCGGCTATTCTACTGATACGCATCTCTAAGTAAAGTGTCTCTTTCTTCATTTAACAAGTCACATTCTAAGAACAATTGAGATGCATTTTCACATTTACTACCACAAAAACATTCTACTGTGGCTTCAATTCCTAGTCTACGTAAATCATTATTTAACTGACTAACCTCATGTCTTAGCTTAGTGTGTATAATATTATGTTTTCTATGTCCAAAGGGGAAATGCGATGGGGACTTTGGCTGATTTTGACTTATAAGTGTCTTAATTGTTGAGTTGAACTACACGTTCTTTCATTTAATGGTATCTCATTCCACAGTTTGACAGTAGATGGGACAGAGGAATCAGGTGAAGGTTTTAGTTTCGTGAGGGGAATTTGGATATTTTCCGAATTTCTGAGGGTAAATGTATTTGTGGAAGATGCCGAATTGGGTAAAGTATCTTATAAGTAAGATTGGGCTACGATGTAATATTTTGTACATAAAAGACACAGTTTTCGTTTCCGTCAAAGTTTTCCAACCAGTTTCGAAATATAATAAAGATTTTGGTAGCCCAGTAATGATCCCGTCTGCTCCCACGTGCAATCTTCCTTCCAATCACTCCGATCTATTGTACATTCACCCCAAAGCTCGCATGCGTATTTAAAATGGGTCCAATGAAAATCTTATAATCTCAAACTTGTACGACATATATGTTCTGAAACATTTACGACATATATGCTCTGAAACATGTAAGACATATATGCTCTGAAACATGTACGACATATATGCTCTGAAACATGTAAGACATATATGCTCTGAAACATGTAAGACATATGTTCTGAAACATGTACGACATACACTCTGATGCATGTATGACATATACTCTGAAACATGTACGACATATAATATTATGCTCTGAAACATGTACGACATATATGCACTGAAATATGTACGACATATACGCTCTGAAACATGTACGACATATATGCTCTGAAACATGTACGACATATATGCTCTGAAACATGTAAGACATATATGTTCTGAAACATGTACGACATACACTCTGATGCATGTATGACATATACTCTGAAACATGTACGACATATATGCTCTGAAACATGTACGACATATATGCACTGAAATATGTACGACATATATACTCTGAAACATGTAAGACATATATGTTCTTAAACATGTACGACATATACTCTGATGCATGTATGACATATACTCTGAAACACGTACAACATATAAACTGAAACAATAACGACATATATACTCTGAAACATTTACGACATATATACTCTGAAAGAATACGAGATATAAACTCTCAAAAAGTACGACATCTATATTTTTGAAACAGTTCAGATTTCGAAATGGAGATTTTTAAACATATTGACAGTTCTTGGACGTTGTACACGATGGGCAGATATTTAAACGTATTGACAGTTCCTGGACGTTGTACACGAGATGCAGGATTTTAAACGCATTGACATTTCTTGGACGTTGTACACGAGATACAGGTTTTTAAACGTATTGACCGTTCCTGGACGTTGTACACGAGATACAGATTTTTAAACGTATTGACAGTTCTTGCACGTTGTACACGAGATACAGGTTTTTAAACGTATTGACAGTTCCTGGACGTTGTGCACGAGATACAGGTTTTAAAACGTTTTGACAGTTCTTGGACGTTGTACACGAGATGCAGGATTATGAACATATTGACAGTTCTTGGACGTTGTACACGAGATACATATATTTAAACGTATTGACAGTTCTTCGACATTCTGCACAAGATACAGATATTTGAACGTATTGACAGTTCCTGGACGTTGTACACGAGATGCAGGATTTTAAACATATTAACAGTTCTTGCACGTTGTACACGAGATACAGGCTTTTAAACGTATTGACAGTCCTTGGACGTTGTACACGAGATGTAGATATTTAAACGTATTGACAGTCCTTGGACGTTGTACACGAGATACAGGTTTTTAAACGTATTGACAGTCCTTGGACGTTGTACACGAGATACAGGTTTTTAAACGTATTGACAGTCCTTGGACGTTGTACACGAGATACAGGTTTTTAAACGTATTGACAGTCCTTGGACGTTGTACACGAGATACAGGTTTTTAAACGTATTGACAGTTCCTGGACGTTGTACACAAGATACAGGTTTTTAAACGTATTGACAGTCCTTGGACGTTGTACACAAGATGTAGATATTTAAACGTATTGACAGTCCTTGGACGTTGTACACGAGATACAGGTTTTTAAACGTATTAACAGTTCTTGGACGTTGTACACGATGGGCAGATATTTAAACGTATTGACAGTCCTTGGACGTTGTACACGAGATACAGATATTTAAACGTATTGACAGTCCTTGGACGTTGTACACGAGGTACATTTATTCAAACATATTAACAGTTCTTCGACGTTCTACACAAGATACAGATATTTGAACGTATTGACAGTTCTTGGACGTTGTACACGAGATACCGATATTCAAACATGTTGACAGTTCTCGGACGTTGTACACAGAGTATATGTTTGTAACTGACAACGCATAAACGTTGCACACCAAGTACATATGCTAAAAGACAATCCAGTACAAAAACTACAACCGATATGCACTTAACACGGTGTTAATCCCCAACGTTGTCAAAACGCCGTGCTGTTGCCATGAACCAGATGCGATGAGATTAAATGAAGCTTGTTCCACCAGGTGATGAATATTCACAACATCAGCTGTACTGTTATGATAGAAAACATAACTACACGGCCTGTGATGCATGGACAGGAGGGTGGCATCTTGCCGCAACGGTCACAGACACCGGCCAGCAGAATCATGTGTCATTGATTCACAAAACCATCCAGATTTCCACACAATGAAGCCGTTTCCACAAACATGCATTTTACTAAGAACCTGTTATCTCCATCGTAAGGCGTTAAGTCCCATGGAGAAGGTTTAGAGCGGAGGGAACACGTGTTGGACGAGAAGGGGAGGATCAATG